GTTTTTGCATTTTTATAACAGCAATTGGGTTTAGTAATGCTAAACAGGTTTTTGGCCGTTCCAAGCACGTCAGTATTTGTTGTTGAAACTCTGCTCAGCCAGCCTGATGAATTTGACAGCTGTATAGGAGTTTGAAATGCTGAGGATTTTTTTTACAGCCTGGAAGGAAGTTTTAAGTTAATAATGATACTTGATTGGTGTAGTTCTAGTTCACCACTTTATTTATACTCACTCGATTTATTGGCCAAATGTTGCGTTCTGTTTTTTCTGTCTTTATTCCCATATACGCTCATATTGGCTCGTATGAGCCCTATTGAGAAATTCAGTTTTAAATGCTGCTTATTAAGCTTAATTGTTTAAGAGGATGTTTTCCAAATTTGTATTCAAGGTCATCTTGCATAACTTACTCGCTAGTGAATGATTTTAATTACGACCTTTCTAGGTAACAAACTGATTTAATGCTTCGAAATGGAGGTAAATAATCGGGTGAGCGTCAAGCAAATTCATGACGCTCTTTCGGAAATGGAATCTACGGGGCATGTGCATCTGTTGAGAGCAAGTTATTTCTTGCCAGCTCGGGTAAAAACTTTGCATCATATATTTATGATTCACTTCTCTCATTTCAATGTATAAATATAATATCACTCATATTAAAATTTTTTTGGTCTATGGTTTAAAACGTTCAATTTGTCTGTCTCGTTACCTTTTATTTAAGTCGGAAAAAAACTTTGGCGGCATTGCGGTAAACCATCGTAGTGGAAAGATTTCTTCGTACAAAGAGTTTGAGAGAAGTTATTTGAGGGAAGTTCCGAAGATTCAGGGACGCTTCGACTTCAAAAGGGACACTGTTAATGGTGGAGTCCTGTACATGGTAATTTGTTTGCAACTTCTAAGTAGCGTTCAGTGAATGCATTGACAGTTGCTGATTGATGCAGGAGAGACTAATTTTCAAGATGAAGAAAGATATTGAGAGAACGAGAGGAAGCTGTACAAAAATATCAGTAGTTTTTGATACCTAGTTATAATAATGGGAGCGTGAGAGTTGTCGATTAGACGTGACCGGCCTTTTTCAGGTCTTTGAGAATGTTTATCGGTTTGCTTTGGGTGCAGTAGCTGGTGCTTGTGGCGCAACTGCAGTATACCCAATCGATCTTGTGAAAACCAGAATGCAGAATCAGAGGACAGGAGTTTTTTCTGGGCAGAAGTTGTATGCCAATAGTTTTGACTGTTTTAAAAAAGTGGTAAAGAACGAAGGTTTGTTTTTTGACTTTACTTTACCCAGAATTTTGCTTGGTTGTTTTTGAAAAAATTTCTAAATGCTTCTCTTCAATGCGTATTGAGTACGAATAGGAAGTTTGCGTTTCGCTACTCAAGACTTTTGAAGGCTTGTTTGGTTTATACCGTGGTTTATTGCCTCAAATCGTCGGCGTAGCACCAGAAAAGGCTATTAAATTAACCACCAATGACTTTGTTCGAGACCGTTTTACTACAAATGGTGTCATTCCGGTATGGGCAGAAATTCTTGCTGGTGGTTGTGGTGGTGCAAGTCAAGTTATCTTTACAAACCCTTTGGAAATTGTTAAAATTCGTCTGCAAGTTGCCGGTGAAATAAAAACTGGCGCGAAGGTTACAATAAAACTTATTTGGTTCAGTCTAGATAGTTGTTTCATTGAAAGACAAATATGAAAATATTTAGGTGAATGTTTTTACGGTTCTCAGAGAT